TGGGATCAGCATCTACCCGAGCCACTCCATCCCTGTCCCCACCGACAGCATCCCAGGCTACTGGGCGTGTGGACACCGGTGTGTGGAAGGCAGGCACGGGGCTGGGACGGCACAGGGCACAGCTCAGTGTGTGCAGGGGGTGGGAAGACGCCAGCTCTGAGACGGGGAGAGCTCCTTACCTTGTCCAGGTAGCTGGGCAGCACTTCAGCCACAAGTCTCTGTGAGTTCTTGGTCATCTCCGAGGGTTTGACAACGACACAGTTACCTGGGGGGATGGACAGGACGTCAGAGCAGTGACACGGTGACAGCCGGCCCTTCTGGCACCCCAGCTGGGGGACGAGACCCCCTCGCCGCTGCCCGGCACTGCCTGGATCCAGGGGATGGTTTCAGCTCACCGGCAGCGATGGCCCCGATGAGGGGCACCAGGACAAGGTGGATGGGGTAGTTCCAGGGTGCGATGATGAGCACCACCCCATACGGATCCTTGCGGATGAAGACAGAGTCCAGCTGCATCACCTGCGGGACACCCACCGGGTCAGGAGTGCTTCCCTGCGGGACAGGTCCCAGCACCACCATCGCCGTGCCAGAATGCCACCCAGATCTGCCTGGGAGCCGGATCCTTCCCCCCACCCTCTCCCTCCTCTTCCCCTTTACCATATTCTTCTCCACGTGCTCATCCTTGCTCCAGTGGGACAGGTTGTTCAGGGTCTCGTTGAGCTCATTCTTGCACAGAAGGATCTCGGAAAATTCAGCTTCAAAGGGCGGCTGGGGATGCAGAGCACACGATGTCACCTCTGCACGTGCTGCCGCACCGCAGCAGCTCTTACCCTGCCCCGCTTGTGCTTTCACCCAGCATCTGGGGACTGAAACCCCTCATGTCCCATGGGGGAGGCACACCTTAGAATCCCAGAACAGTTTGGGTGGGAAGGGACCTTAAAGCCCACCCAGCCCCACCCCCTGCCATGGGCAGGGACACCTTCCATAGCCCAGGGTGCTCCAAGCCTCATCCAGCCTGGCCTTGGACCCTCCCAGGGATGGGGCATCCACAGCTTCTCTGGGAACCTGTCCCAGTGCTCCCATCCTCTGCGGGAAGAATTCCTTCCTGATGGCCCATCTCAATCTCCATCTTTCCATTTAAACCCGTCACCCCTTGTCCTGTCACTCCCTGCCCTTGGGAAAAGCCCCCCCAGCTTTCTTGTAGCCCCCCAGGCACTGGAAGGGGCTCTGAGGTCTCCCCGGAGCTTCCCTTCTCCAGGCTGAACCCCCCAACCCCCCCAGCCTGTCCCCAGGGCAGAGGGGCTCCAGCCCTCGGCGCATCTCCGGGGCCTCCTCTGGCCTCGCTCCAACAGCTCCGTGTCCTTCTGCTGTTGGGGCCCAGAGCTGGAGCAGAACTGCAGGGGGGTCTCCCCAGAGCGGAGCAGAGGGGCAGAATCCCCTCCCTCGCCCCCCTGGCCACGCTGCTCCTGAATCGTCATCCCGTTTCCCTCCCAAGGGGATCGGGCGTTACTCTGGGTCTCGTCTCAGCACAAGATCTGGCTACTTAAAATAGGAAAAAGGGTGCAGATCCCCTTGATCCGGACTACAAGGAGGGTGTCCAAAGGGAAGTTGTGGACTCAGATGGGGAACAACCGATGAGGAGCCCCGCGTGTGGCTCCGGCTGTGGGCGAATGAGCTGTCCCAGAGGGGGAACTACGGGCTGGGAGGGGCTGGAGCTCTTGGAGTCGCAGAGACCCAGGATGGGTCTGCTCTGCCCTTGGGGAGCCTGACGTAGGCGGGAGGGAGCAAAGAGGCAGGGGACGATGCAGAGCCGGAGGGTCCGCTCGGAGCCCGGGTGAGCACTGCGAGCGGGCAGGGGACGTTGGTGGAAAGCCCAAGGCAGGGAGTGACGGGATTCGGGGATGGACCGGCCCAGAAACAGAGGCCAATGGGTTTGGGAATGGCTAATTATGTTTGGATGCTCCCCACAACCCCACTGTGCCCACTCTGGGGACAGGGACAGAGCTCCAGGGGAGTGGGGCTGGGACGTGCTCGGTTCCGCTCCCTCCAGCCCCATCCAGTGGCTCCGAGGCCAGGTCAAAGTCCAGCATGGGGTGGGGCAGCCCCGCCGGGGCATCACATCAACCCCACGCGTGACAGCAGGTGAGTGGGCGGCAGCCCCTCGGCTGACACCCCCACCGC